TAATTTATTTTTGTGGTTATTAACCGAATCGAACCGCACCGAACTGAGATATAAACCGAACCGAACCCGACTTTCGTGGTTATGGTGCGGTTATGGTATGGCAAAAAAATTGGTGGTGCGGTTATGGTTTTGGCCGAACCGACCCCGAACTGAACCGTTGCCATCCATTAGTTTTCATGAAATTAAATTGTAGAGACCGGATTTTGTTTTAGATTGATGAATGGGCTAATTTTAAATAAATTAAAGATAATGACAATTCATTATTTTTTTGTTATATGGGGTTATGGCCTCCAATTATTGGTGTGTTCTTGAGATTTCCTGCATTCCCATCAATAGAGTGCGAAATTGAAGTGAAGATCACCAATCAATTGAAAGATCATAACCCATCCAAGCAAACAATCTGATATCCATGGATTTACGTATGTTTGTGGTTTTGTTATTTTCTCATATTCAACATGGAGTATGAATTTTAGGGTTTAGAAAATGATTTGATTAAAGGTTTTGAATCTGTAATCCCTTTATTATGTTTTCTATCACGTTCTACTTTATTGTGTCGACTAAAGTGACATGATGTCAAAAGTTAGGACTAGTAAGTCATATATGGTCATTAGCATGATCCAATACGTTAGATTAATGATGTTCCAACTTTCAGATCTGATGAAAGCTATAAAGCTCTTCTGTCTGCTTTTTGCCACCATAATCTTGTGCTTGGCAACAGCCCATCTTCTCTTACTTAGTATTAAATGACTCATATATTTCCTTTTCTAACATTTATTTTTTTTATAACTTTATTTAGCATATCACAATATTTTTCTAAAAAGGTAATATTAAATTCATTAATTGCCTTTTTTATTTAAAAAAAAAAAGGTAAAAGAATCTAGTGATTCTTCTATTCTTGGATGCTTTTAAGTTTCATGTACTAAAATAAAAGAATAATACCTTAACAATAAATAAAGAAATGGTACATCATGTGCTCTACGGGGCACTTGCTTCAATGTAAGTTCTTATTGTTCTTTACACATAAAGAACAAATTGCATGTGTGTTACTCCTTAGGTAAGTCATCTAGATCTAATCCATTTCATTATAATTTAAATTAATGAATTGCAAAAATAAAGTACAAAACAAATAATGTTTTAAACTGATGGATCTACAATAGGAATATAATAATAAACACTGGCAACTCTTGAATAAAATATTCTATATGAGTTAATGATTCTAATAAAGAAGAGTTTGGTCTGAATCTGAATTCCGACACAAACTATTCGACTTCTACGATGTCTACTCTTACGAAAGAGGGATGGTCGCCCGTTCGTTTGTGGAGTTTCATCAATCGAACTCATTACTTTTATGTTGCGAAGATCTTAGATGAAGACTAACTTTTATGAGTAAAAATTATGTAATAATGCGTATCTTACTAGTTACCAAATAAGTGACACTAGTAACTAACATATTTGGTGGTGGGTACAATCGTCGTTAAAAAGTTACTTGCACTGTTTGAAGTAGTCGTTCGAATTCTTTATGATAAGTAACTCAAATAAGTTCTTGCTAATGGTAAGAAATGAGGTTTGAATGTAGGGACTGTGAAGAACATTTGCTGAATCGAGCCGCGTAAAAGTAACGCTTTTGGATTTTAGCTTTTTCTTTGCAAAAGAAATTATAATTAATTAATTACAGAGAAGACTCTCGCCGAAAAATTGTTTACAAAAATAAAAAAGTAGAAATGGTAAAGTGTGGTCCATAATCCACGCATTACTCTCTTGTCGTCCTCTGCACCTTTTCCATTGCATGCAAACTCAGTACAATCCTCTCTCTAAACTGTGTGTTTGTGTGTGTGATTTGATATTTTCATTTCTGACAGACTTACTGTCATACACGCACAATCTTCAAAAGTTTATCTCTGAAAAATTCCCATATAATTCGGGTTGTAATAATCCTCTTTCAAATTCAAGAGTTTTCTTCACCGTTGACATCAATTCTGACTTCAAGATTCAGATAAGCTTTCTCAGGTAAAAATCGGATATACAAGAACACTGTAGCCCATAATTTTCTTTTTCAGTATTAATTTTGGGAAATGTGAGTTCAATTGAGTTCTGTTCATCTGTTATGGTGTTCTGAGTCTTGATTGACTTGAAGTTTTGATCTTTCTCAATTTCTTTTTGGGAGAGAGGTTGAAGGATTGGGGGGTATTTGAGTAATCTGATTGGTGTCGGTTAGTTTCTGAGCTAGATTGATTAGAATTTTGATTGGTTTGATTTACACTTTCTGGGGTTTTTCGGGTTTTCGGTTTTGATTTAATTCCATTGCCTTCTCTTTCATTTTATTTTCATGGGCTTCTTTATGTTTTGGTACTTTTTTTCCCAGGAATTGAATTTTCGTGCTGTTCGGTTTGGATTTCTTTTTCTTTTTCTTGATTTTGATTACTATTCATGAATATGAGTGGCATTTCCCATCTAATTTTATAGAAGTTTTCGAAATTGAGGTTAGATTACAGAACTTAGTAATCCTAGGTTTCACAGTTTCAAACTACGCTGTGATTTGAAAAGCTATTACTTTTATTGCTTATGAATTGTGCTTAATCACACCCTTTCGATATCGTAATTTTTGTGGGCCTTTTTGCTTTTCTAAGCAAGCTAAATTCACCATGATTTTGTTCGTGGCAAATCTTTGGATCTTCTTGCTGTATGAGCTGTTATGTAATTCTATTGGCAGAAAAGCATGGGGGTATGGTTTTGGATGATGAAACAGAACGGAGTTACTATTTTAGTGCTATTAAAGTGATACTGCTTTAGGAACTGTTCTTTTACGGAAAGCCTTGTGTTTCTTTGTTGATTGTATTCCGTCTTAATTCAAACAAGTTCTGCCATGTTTCTCATCGAATCTTTTCTTATGTCATTTAAGGGATCAGGGCACGTGGTCACACCATTCTCCTAATTTGCTCCCAAACTTCTCAAATATAACCGAGAATCCTATATGCTGTTTTGGCAATCATTCAATGGGGGCTTCAAATTCTAGATTGGAAGAAGACAAGGGCCTACAGCTTTGTCGGGAGCGAAAGAAATTAATCAAACAAGCACTTAATGGCAGGTGTTCTCTAGCAGCTGCTCATATTGCTTATATAGAAGAATTGAAAATCATAGGTACTGCTTTGAGGAGATTCATTGAACCTGATTCTCAAGTTGAACCTTCCATCCATATTTCAACAAGTGCAACGCCGGAGCCACATGCATTGATTGAGAGGTCTATCTCCCAGTTTTCACTTTCCTCTCGGTCTCTGTCCCAACATGTGGACACCACTGTGAATAAATCACCATCTCCCTCACCTCCGATCACAAGTCGACACCAGGCTCATCATATGAAATTCAGAGGTACATTTTCCAAGAAAGTTGAAGAAAAGCCTTCTGTGCCCATCACGTTATCAGTTGCTTCAACTACTCCTCTGAGCACTACTCCTCGTTCCACCGAAGGACCTGAAGCATCATCATTTGAAACACCTTCCATCCCGTCAGAAACTCCACCATGGGATTATTTTGGTCTTTTTCATCCAATTGACGATAATTTTTCTTCACAAGAAGGCGGGGGATTTGATCAGGGTTCAGAGTACTTTGGTGAGATTAGAGAGCTTAGAGAGGAGGAGGGAGTTCCTGAATTGGAAGATGTAGAAGAGAAGGTTTCCTCACCTGGAAGGGTAGAATCTCATGAATCAGAAGATGAATTTGATGAACCTTCTACGGAAACACTTGTTCGAAGTTTTGAAAATGTGAACAGGGCAACAGAAATTTTTGTCAATAATGATGTACCCATTATGCTCTCAGGCACTGTAGTATCAGAAACCAAGTTTGGGAGTGAACAAGTTAACGTGGCTAAAGAAAATGTAATGAACGGTGATTCACCTATTATGTCCACAGAGAGTGCAGTATCTGAAACCAAGTTTTCGAATGTGAAGAAAAACAACTCTCCTTATTTATCACCATTAAGAGCCACATCTTCGAGATTTCTGCATCTGAATGATGTGAAGATAACGCCAATGAAAGAAACCGAGGTAGAAGATACATCAGCACCTAAGGACTTCTTTGCAAGCATGAAAGATATTGAGCATTTGTTTGACAAGGCATCTGAATCTGGAAAAGAAGTTCCCCGGATGCTTGAAGCAAACAAATTCCATTTCCGTCCAATTTTCCCAGGGAAAGAGCGTAATATCTCTCTTCCTTTCTCTCCCTATGGACTCTATCTCAGTCACTGACACATGATCACTCTTATATGTGCTTTTATAGGTTTTTTGTATTCTTTTAGAGCAATAGTTAATTTTCCAGATGCAGTGAAACCAATTTTACTACAATAAGGAAATTGATGCACCGCTTTAGGATTCATCTCCATTGCACTATAGAGAGGCTTGAATAGTTTTCTGCTCAATCATTTGGATAAGATAGAATCTTGCAGTTATTAATAAAAATGGGAGGAAAAGAAGGCCATTTCTTTGAGTTACATAGTTATATATTTTTTATTCTCTGATAACGTATATGAGAAAATTATGCCACCAAGTATCACTGCAATGCAGTGTGCATCCAAGACATCAAATAGTCAGATCACTTCAATTAATTTTTTTCTTCTTGCCTTTTCTGGATATTGTTTTTTTTTTCCGTGCTAGCTGGTCAAGGAAATTTGTTGTGGCAGGTGGATCGATGACCTCAGCATTACTGAAATCATGTTTATCTTGTGGGGATGATCCAAGTGAGGTCAAGGAAGGTTGGTCTATCCGTTTTAATTTTTCCAGATCACTTTGCTAGGGAATGCGCTATCAGATACTCGTTGGTGTCGGACTGTCTATAAATACAGCATCTTCATCTTCCTTGACAGGGAGGAACAGTAATGAATCGGTTTTAATTTCAAATTTTTAGTCTGCTGAGTGTTGTTGGTTCATTATTAATGACAGTTTATATCCAATAGTAACTTAGATACAAGGTTCCCTCCAACTACGTAAAAAACACTTGTTATGATCCCAAATAATTTATAGCTGTGATGATTAGAAACCTTTAGTAAAACAGCTTCTGTACCCAAACAGAATAAATAGTACAGGGATTCGCGATTTACCTATTCAGCGACTTCAGAAATTTATGATGATTAGAGACAGATGAAGTGCTGAAAGATAAAAGAAGAAATGTATGGGAAGATGATAAGAAATTATTCTTCTTTTTTCTTAACCGATGATTTAAACAAGTTTTCCTACTTTTCTGGCTATTTTTAACCTATATCTTAGCAAGGCTTGAACCTTCAAAACTAAATGAACAACATGCTCTTTATTTTGAAGCATTTATTATTTTACCTTTTCCTTCTTTTTCTGGACACCCGAGACACCCTATAGAGAGAAACAACCAAGCAAGTTATATAACCGCTAACTTTTCAATTGCTAAAATATTCTCAGTCGAGTTGAATGTGACATCACATAGCTATGTACCGCCTTCAAGATGTCTTAACAAGGTCTTGGATGATCAATTCTCTCTCTGTGAGCTTAGGGTCCTTTCTCACCTTCCAATTTGCTGTGATGATATTTTACTGGGGTCAAACTTTTGGTATTAAACAAGATGCCCTCGTTACTCTGGCTTATTTGTGTTGATCTATGTTTGATGAAGCAGCTTTGCCTTTTTGAACTTGAACAGTTCTTGATGATAAACAGTTGACCTTCTAGATAAACATCCTTGTATCATTAGACCTTCTAGATAAACATCCTCGTATCATTATATTCCGTGGACATCTTGCATCTCTTATTCCGAGGTTGCTAATGTATGAGGTTGTAAATATGGCAGGAACCTGCTCAGTTCATAATTTGAGAAGCTCACCACCACCACCACCACTACCAACAAATTGGGCCTTATTCCCAATAAATTTAGGGTCAGTTACATCAACCATTCTTCATCCTTACCACTTTGTTCATTGCTAGATTTAGTGGAAGATCTGAAGCAACTAGATCCTTAACAACTATAACAAGCGCTCTTAATTTTGATCTACACCCCTTCTAACTTGCTCCACCGAAAACACGTCACTTTTAGAAAGGGACCTCTTTAGGTCAATGCAAAACCACAACTCAATCACTAAGTCATCATCCCCTTAATATGTCCTCAATTTGCTCCACCTCCAGCGGTTGGCATTTATTCTCATTACCTTATCTATTTTAATATGATCGCACCTCTACCTTAGCATCTTCATTCCGCTACATTCATCTTATCATCTTTAACTTTAACAACCAAACACGCATACCCATAAAAGCATTAGCTGATGCCTTACTCTCACTCTTTTGTCTGCATTTCAATATATCAAAATTGTTGATAATAATTTTTGGATGAAGAAAATTTCTGAATCTTACATATGCTTTCAAGCTGGCTGAAAGGAGAGTT